GAAGGTACAAAAATCAGAGACCCATTCAATTGCACACTCAGAAATCCCATAAAAACACTAAAACAGAAGCTATTATATATACACAGAAGACCTGGTGTGTGTGTGAGTGTGTGCACCTGTGCCCATGCACAAAATCCAGAAGAGGACACGGGACCGATCTCTATCATCCACCTAGTCCTTTGTAGAAGAGTCTACCAGAACCTCAGCCTCATACTGTCTAGGCCACGCTGTCTCCGTGGTCTTCCTGTTTCCATCCTGCTGAGAGCAGGTGTGTATGGGATGTTTGGTGTGAAGAGTAAGATCTTTTAAAAGATTTGTTTATTTTTATTTTGTGTGTCTGGGTGGGTGTATCGTTTGCACATCAAGTTGCACACTATGTGCATGCTGCTCCCAAAGGGACCAGAAGAGGGCTCCAGATCCCCAGGACTTGAGATACAGTTGTGAGCCACCGTTGGATACTGGGAATCAAACCCCTGTCCTGTGGAAGGGCAGCCACAGTGAGCTTTCTATATATATTATGCTTTCTATACTTAATATTGTGTTAATATTTAATAATACATGTATATAAAATATAATTTTATTCTATAATTTTAAAGAATAAATTTTGACAAAAAAAGAGACAAACCAAAGAGCATGACATAGTTTTCAAATGTTTGTTATTATTTCATATTATGCACTCGTGGGATATTTGTACACTGGGTGAAGATGTATTTGTTGTGATTGGTGTAATAAAAAGATGACGGCCAATAGTTAGGCAGGAAGTATAGGCAGGACTTCCGGGCAGAGAGAGAAAGAAGATAATAATAAAGGCCCTCAGGAGATACCAACAAGCCACAGAGGGAGTCAGACATACAGAATGAAAGAAAGGTAAAAAGTCACATGGTGAAATGCAGATTTATATTTAGAAATTTGTTATTATTATTTTTTATAATTTTACATACATACCAAACAGTTCCCCCTCCTCTACCTCTCCCCTACTCCCCACCCACTCCTTAGAGAGGGTAAGGCCTCCCATGGGGAGCCAAAAAAGCCTGGCATAACAAGCAGAGGCAGGACCAAATCCCTACCCCTACATCGATACTGAGCATCCCAGCCTTGATATCCCACAATATCCCACCATAGGGAATGGGCTTCAAAAAGCCTGTTCAGGTACCAGGAATAAATCCTGGTCCCACTGCCAGTGGGACCACAGACAGACAAAGCCATACAACTGTCACCCACATTCAGAGGGTGTAGTTTGGTCTCAAGCAGCCTCTTCAGCTGGAGATCCAGAGTCCATGAGCTCCCCTAACTAGCTCTGGTTAGCTCTCTCTGTGGATTTTCCCTGCCATGCTCTTGATGTTCTGCTTGCTCATATAATTCTTGCTCTCTTTCTTCGACTGGACTCCAGGAGCTCAGCCCAGGAAAAACAGGTTAATTTAAGTTAGATTTAATTAGGTAAGAGCTAGTCAAAAACCAGCCTAAGCTAAAGGGTAAGCTTTCCTAATTAATAAGTCTCTGTGTCATTATTTATGAGCTACCTGGTGGGACATATATCATCACATATATCTTAAAATGTTTGTTTATAATGCCTTTCATATTTCTAGAAAAAAAAATCTGAGTTAACACTGAGCATGGTCTCGGAACAGTTCGAATGTGAGTGACTAAGCCCCAAATGATTGTAGAGGAAAGGCCGAGGAAACACTTAAACTCAAGAACTTTATTTTAAACTCCCGTTTAAAAAAAAAAAGTCTCTTGGAAATTTCCAGGTGTATTTTGACAGCTCACATAATTAGTGGTGGTTTTATGACTTTTTGGTTTTGTTTTTCTTTTTCCGATCAATCTCTCAGCTACATTTGCAAACTCTAGCTTTTCCCTGGTGCTGATGAACTATTTCAGAATGTCTTCTGGATTCTCATTAGGAAGCGTCTCCTTTTTAAAAATAAAATATCCAAATTGTTCACTTAAAATAGACAATAAAACGCTATCGGAACCCTTTTCAAGAGCAGGTAACATAACGAGACATTTACAACTCTCTATTATCCAAATAAGACCATATTTATGTTGACAACATAATCATCTCATTTTAAGAGAATACTGGGACATTTGATGCTAGACTTCAGAGAAACGGAGGCTCCTTTTTTTTTTTTTTTTTTTTTTTTTTTTTGGAAGATTCCATCAAAAGGCCCCTTCCAAAGGCGATTGGGGATTAGTCTCACAAAGTCAGTTGAGCACGATAGTCAGTACGATAGCGTACACACACGGTTTCCACTGATGGTAAAGCTGAACAAAATGCAACAACTCCCGAAAGTGAATTGGAGGAGTTTCAACTGGAAAATTTTAGTCCATGGTATGGATTGCTAGGGGAACAATTTAAAGAGGCCACAAGGGGGCAGCAAAACACCCCGCATTCCCTGTATGCTTGCAGCAAGTTCTTGGGTAAGTAAAATCAGGCTAAGAAGGAGGCAAAGGTAAGAACAGAAGCGCCTGGGCCTTGAGCCATCCTTGAACATGGGCATTTCCAGCCAAACACAATGGGTCTAGGTGGTATGTGGGCATGCGCGCGCACCCGAACGTGCAGGGGCGGGGGCGGCGGTACCTCTCCTAATTAATTGAGTTTAGGTGATACCAGTCTTTCAACTGTCTTAAGAACAGACGCCCGAGAGATGGCCAGAGGTTACCTGCATTTGCTGGTCTTTCCGATTCTATTCCTAGCATTCACGTGGGGTGGTTCACAACCATCTAGAACTCCAGTCCAGGAGGACCTGATACCTTCTTCTGGCCTCCTCTGGCACCAGGCATGCTTGCCTTGGTGCCCACACATACGTGCTGAAAACCACTCGTGCACAGAAGTAAAAACAGATAAATTTTTAAAAGGACAACCCCTGGGCATTTATACCCAAGGTGGGCTCAAACCTGATATTTCTCCTTCTGTTTTCTAATGGATCAAATTCTAAGTCCCTCTTCCACTTGTTAGAATCTCAGTATGGTTCGTTGGAAAATAAAAACAAGGTCAAGTCCATTAGATTTAACTTGCAAAAAAACAGGAAACAGACTGGGTAAGACTGTGCAGTTACTCACGAATCACAGTTATCGGGTTTGTTTTAAGAGGAAGTAGTACCCAATGGCTGATACAGTTCAGAGCAACTTGAGCTTTTGTCAAGCTTTCTGGCTGTGAGGTTGCACAGCCTTGGGTGGCTCTTCTAACCTCTTAGGAATCTTAGCTTATTCACAGGGAAGGTAGGAAGGATACTACAGGTTGTTCTGAAGATTAACCCAAGTAATTAGCACTTCAGCCGAGCCTGCGGTGAACGTGGCAGCCACAACGCTACTACAGTGAGTGATTTGGCAGGCGATAGTCTCAGTTATCATTTCTCTGCAACTAGTTATGTTATTTCATTTAGTTTTCATAACTAGCACGAGAGATTTTTGTTATTTCTGTTTCTTTTTATAGAGAGGAACATTGAAGTTCAAAAAGGCTGGTAAGTTGGTTAATATAAATTAAATGAAAGAGCTTGGATTTGAACTCATAGGTTTCTGCCTGCTAGCTAGGGTACTTTGAGCCACGATTGGGCATATGTATAGTCTACTATGAGCCTCCCCACCCCCAACGTACACACTTCCGATGACTTTGGAAGTCATTTGAATCTGCTGATGAGTCTTGAACGTGACTGCCGTTTGACAAGGACAGCAGCGGGTGCAATCAAATGGTTCTCCTACCACACTCAAGAGAGGGTGTGGGGAGGGAAGAAGGGGGGCTTTCTGTTAATTGTGAGGACAAAGGAGCTATCCAAGTGTTCCGGCGCTAAACCAGTCTCTTCTAGGAAACCGGTCTGGGCATGCAGTTTATACAGGGATAGCCTCTTCACCTAGATGTCTCCCCCACCCCTGCTATCCCACCTGGCACCAACAAGAGACCGTGGAGTGACTTGACTCTGCAGTGAAGACATTCAGTGGCATTTTCCTGAATCAGAATGTGTTCCTGAGGTCTTTGTGTCTACACTGTGGATGTAGAGTTCGCTTCACCCAGTCTCTCTCAATGGAGTGTGATGCAAGCCCCACTTGTTTTGTTTGTTTTCAAGATAGAGTTTTGCTGCGTGGCACCGGTTTTCCTGAAACTCGCTTTGTAGACCAGGCTGGCCTTGAACTCAGTGGTCCACCTGCCTCTGCTTCCCAAGTGCTGGAATTAAGGCATGATCCACCATGTCCACCTGCCAACGTCTCCTTTTGTTTATGGAGGTCAAAGCTGGTTCAACACTGAGTTCCTGAGATCTTCCCATGCCTGGCCCCATGCTGAGATCACAGACACGTGTGGCAGTGCCTGTCTCTTTGATGTGGGTGCCAGGGATTCAAACTCAGGTCCTCATGCTTGCACAGCCAAGTGTGTTTACTTACTGAGTCATCTCCCCAGCCTGCTGGCTACTTCATTTTTTAGACTTATTTTTATTGATTTATGCATATGTGTAAGTGTATGCTATGTGTGTACGTGCATGCGTGTGTGCGTGTGTGTGTCTGTGTGCAGGTACAGAGGAGACCAGAAGAAGGCACCAGATTCCCTGGAGACAGAATTACAGGTGCTTGTGAGCTGCCTGACATGGGTGCTGGGAATCAAGCTTGGGTTCTCTGGGAAAGCAACAAGCACTTTTAACCCATAAACCCATCTCTCCAGCTCCTTGCTTGCTCTGTTTCATAAGTGAGATTATTAGGTGACGTTTCAACCTAGGAATGTGTTTGTAGAGAGTGAATAAATCCATAAAGGTATTTATGTAATCAGAAATTTATTTGTATAATCCTCCTAAATTATCAGAGCTATATACTAGCCTGTCCCACATGACAAAGTCCCCGTCTTAAGCAAAACACCCAAGACAGAGAACCAGAAAATAGGCTCTGATGCTCTCTCTTTCCCTCCCTTCTCTTTTGTTTTTCTTTCCCCTTCAGTCATTTTATTCTTTTCTACTATTCCTCTACCTACCACATCTACTTTTTTTTTTTTTTTTTTTTTTTTTTTTTTTTTTTTTTTTTTTTTTTTTTTTACAACATGGTATGCAACACGTGATTCAAAACATGTATTTATCCCTTGGGCATGACTTAAAAGGAAAACGGGTATAGAATAAGAAAAGAACAGGTTAAAATAGATTCCCCACGTCTTTGTGAGAACTGACATTTTGAGTCAAGGCACCGGTGTTCAGAAGTATAACGTGATTACTGGAGGTTACGGGCTCATCATCGGCGGATGGCACGTGCTTGCTTAGAAAACAGCAAGGCGATTTAAGCACTCAGGGAGACAGACTTGATTCCTCTCTATGTCAGAGACAGGGACTTTCGGATTTAGAAAAGTGGATGGGAAATTGAATGGATATGATCAAAAGGGTAATTATCATGTTTCTGGTAAGAAATAAGTGAGTTCTTAGAGTGGAGGAGGCTGTGCTTAATCAAACAGGTCTCTCTCTCTCTGTTCTCTATCTTTCTCTGTATGTGTGTTCTCTCTGTGTATGTGTGCATGTTCTCTCTCTTTCTCTGTTCTGTGCGCTCTCCTCTCTCTCTCTCTCTCTCTCTCTCTCTCTCTCTCTCTCTCTCTCTCTCTCTCTGTAACTGGATTATCCCCATGATCCCATGACAGTGGCTAAGTATGAACTTAAAGAACAGCATAAGAAAGTGTGATTATGGAACCAGAGGGCTCTGTGGTGAGCAGAACTTCAGCCGTCTTTGCCAGGGTCTTCGGGCTGCAGACCATAGCTGGGTCATCTAGACTCTCCGTGTCGGATACTCTCCTGTACTCACTGCAGGTGGGAAGCGCTTCTCCAGGCCACCAGGGAAGAAATACAAACCAGGATAATCTGGGAATCTTCTTGGGAGAAATGCCTTTGGTTCAGAAGTTGAACATATCATAAAAACCAGATCTGCGAACATCAAACAAATGTGAATTACAAGAGGATACAAAGAAAAAAGCGTCTGTGGTGATGGGAGCCAAAGCAACCCACATCCCAGACCAGACTCTTTGTCTCTGGAATCAAGACAACACAACTTTAAAAAGTATATGCAATAAGATACTTCTATATAAAAATTACAGAGAAACGAATGAAATTCACCCACAATCTAGTACTCAGAATGAAGGACGAACATTCCAGGGTATAGACGTTCAATGTAGGTGTCTATGCATGTATGTATATCTGTTTGTATGCCTGTGCTATTATCATCGATATACATTCAATGTAATTCGATAAAACTTACAAAACAGAAGCAGTTTTGCTTTTGCTCTTCTTAACTGCTATATGCCTACTATTCTTTTAAAATAATGTATTATTATTACTACTATTAGTGCATTAATGTGTGAGTGTGTGGGTATGTGTGTATGTGTGTGTAGGTCAGAGAATAACTTTTAGAAGTTAATCCCCTCTTTTCACTATGGGTCCCAACATAGATCTAGGTCTGGTTCGCATGGCAACTGATTTTTACCTATTAACGCATCTTGGTAGCCCATCATTTTTTTTTTCTCATTTTAATTTTCTTTCCCAAGACAATGTTTCTCTGTGTTGCTAACTGCTGTACTGGAACTCTGTAGACCATCCTGGCTTCAAACTCTGATATCTGCCTTCCGAGTGCTGGGATTAAAGTTGTGCCCCACCATGCCTGGCTGATCCATCATCTTTCAATAATTAGAAAGTTGGCAGGCGTGACAACACATGTCTATAATGCAAGTATTAAAGAGACTGAGGCCAGGCGATGGTGGCGCACGCCTTTAATCCTAGCACTTGGGAGGCAGAGGCAGGCGGATCTCTGTGAGTTTGAGACCAGCCTGGTCTACGGAGCTAGTTCCAGGATAGGCTCCAAAGCCACAGAGAAACCCTGTCTCGAAAAACCAAAATAAATAAACAAACAAACAAGTAAATAAATAAATAAATAAATAGACTGAGGCAGGAGGATGACCATTTCAGGTCAGCTTGGGCAAGATCACTTTAAACTGTACGGTGAAACCTTGGGATGAACAAAACCAAAGCAGAAATAAAACCTAGAAAGTTTTTGATACTATGAATGCAGGTGCTAATTGACTGGTATTAGATATAAGGTGCTCTGTTAGTTTCTGATTCATATACGGATATGTAAGCCACAAGTATAATCAAAGAAGAGGAGTTTACCTATTTGACATGGGAGAGGGTGATTTGGGGAAATGTTGGAGGGAAGGGATCAGAGGAAGAAAAGGGAGGGGGAAATGTAATTATATTTCAATTAAAATAATTAAAATGAATAACATTAAAAAATCATCTTTAAACTCATTGCTTTGAAGTTCTAGACAATTCTATTAGAGTTTTAAGGAGAAAGACCAGTTGGCAAGCTGTCTCAGCGCTGCCCAGAGGAGGAAGAAGGAGAAGAGGAGAGGGCGCTGCATTGTTGGAGTCAGGCACGGAGGTGAGAGATCCGCCAGGACAAGTAACCCCAGGACTGGGAAAGAAGCGTTAGAGATAAGGTGGAAAAGTCCAAAGTACCAGAGACAGCACACGCAGGCTCTGGCTCGTATCTAAAAGATTGGAGAGAAGAGAACCCAATGGAACGTCACGGTGAATCTGGAGCAACCTGTCTGAGGGTGGAACTGCTTTTATTGCAAAGCACATGCCTCTTTAGGATACACTTGCTGGGCTTCTATACAGATGCTTAAGAACATTTTGATCTTTTATTCTTAAATACATCCAGATACCAAAAGATCTTCCCCCCACATTTTTTTTTCCTAATCAGCAGTGTTTGAACTGCCCAGGGTGTCACTCTTCCTGAATGTCATCATTAGTGTTCAAGGAAACTTCTAAACATGGGTTTTAAAAGCTAACATGATGAAGCAGTGTGATCCAGTCTGAATTTCCAGGTTTCTCCTAGTTCCAGATGCTAACTTGAAACAACAACCTGGGGTCACTTGGGAAGGGGAGCCCCAGCTGAAGAACTGACTGAATCACATTATCCTGTGTGCTTGCCTATGAGGAATTCTCTTGATTTATTGGTGTAGGAGAGTCCAGCCCACTGTGGGCAGCACCACCCCTAGGCAGGTGGGACTGGGTTGTTTAAGAAAGCTATCTGAGCCAGCCAGGGAGCGATGTCCCCTCTTTATCCTTGCTCGAATGCGTATAACATGAAAGAAAAGGAGGATAAGGCTTAATTGCTGAATTCACTCATTACCAAACGACTTAAAAAAAAAAAAAAAAGAAAAAAAACCCCGTACGCAAGGCTGAAGCCCACAGAAGCGGTTGGGCCGACGGTATTGTTCATTCAGTTAAAAGAAAGGTCATATCTTTCTTGCTTTATTCAAAGGGGAGGAAACTGGCTTCCTTCCAGGTGGGATATCCTGATTGAAGTTCACTCTGACACCGGGCCCTGCTCTTTCCCTGGGATCGTTTTGGTACAAGCTCCTTAAAGAGCGTGGTGTCTACACGTGCTAGTTTGCACACACACCACACTGGACACATGATCCACGTCAGTCATCCACTGTGACTTCGGCGTTCCAGGGCAGGGGGAGAGGAAAGAGTCTGAGAAACTTGGAAGTTCTTTCCTGGTAAGTCTATATCAAAGACGAGTGTTTGCCTCGCGAGCAGCTGTTGCATGAGCTATTCATGCTCGCAACAATGAGTAATACGTTTTCACAAACTCATTCGTGCCTGCCAGCAGTGCGCTGAACGCTGCGCAATATGCTTAGGTCCAAGTCCTTGGTAGACCTTTTCACAAGGCCTTTCTAATAGTGTCTTACATTCTCAGAGCTCTTTACGGTGGACCAAATGTTTTCCTACAGATGGGGCCATGCCTGGTGGGTGATTAGACTGGAGGGTCCCCTAACATTTTTTTTTTTCTACCTGTGTTTGAATAGTGCTCAGCTTTCTTCTGGTTCATTGATTTTTGTTGTTGTTTGAGACAAGGCCTCTCTCTCTGTAGTCAAGAATAGCCGAGATGGCACAGTGATTTTCCTGCCTCAGTTTCTTGAGCGTTAGTGGCGATTACTGTTTTATGTTTACTGAAGATTTTATTCTTATTTTTAACTGTGCATTTATGTGTGAATCTGTGTGTGAGTTTATGCACACGGATATGAATGTTCTTGGAAGCAAGAAGATGGTATCAGCTCCTCCAGAGCTGGAATTACAGGTAATAGTAAGCTGACCAATGTGGTGGCTGCTAGGGACTGAGCCCATGTCCTCTGGAGGGCAGAGATAGTTTAATTACCAAGCTATCTCTCCAGCTCCTGTTTTATGTTTATAATTTAAGCCCTTATCTTTTTTTTTAAAGAAACAAAACTCAAATCTTTGATCACATACGCGATGCAATAAAATAAAAGATACAGTTAGTGTTTGTGACACGTTCAAATAAGGATAAGATCTAAATGTCTAAGCTCATACCAGAATACACTTTTACCCACTGCTTATCAGTCTTAGGTTAGAAAATCCCCAACCGTCTCTCCTGTATGACTGGAAGTGTAAGATGTGATATCCTGGCTCCAATCCAGAGCAAAGGGGAATTTGAAGAGTGGCTCACATATTTGTAATTTTCCAGTCTCAGGCACATACTTCCTATGCGGGGGCCATTTGTGTTCCCTCAGGGTAGCTAGGAGCACAGGGCAAAGCAGTCCTGGCTATCTTAAAGCCGCACAGTGCTTTGGGACGTTTCTACTGGAAAGCTCAAGGAGATGCATTATTTTGTAAGCATGCTTTGTCATGACTGCATGCTTAGACTTACTCCGTCCTGTCCTTGAGATTTGCCCTATTGGCTTCCTAGATGAAACGGTGAATTTTGGATGCTATGGCTGAACTCAGCAAACTGGAGTAAATATAGTGGCATAGGCTCATGTGTTGTGTTTGCTTTCGATCTGACCTTATGAGTGGCAGTATTCACTGTAAGCGGGACAGAGAGATTTGTCAGGTCTCTGGAAGAGATGCAGGTGTAGAGGACCATTGCAGGGAATTTAGCAGAGCAGTGGGGGGGTCCTGAGAAGGTCATTGAAAAACAACAACAAAACAAAAGGTTTGGTGAACCAGCAGGAAACCATCTTGGCTGATGAAAGTGGTTGATTCTTGCAAGAGCTGGGAGATAATTGGTTAAAATGGGTTTAAAAATTTACTTCATTTTGTCCTGCAGGTTAAAAGTAATAGTTAAGATCTGGAGGTGAAACTCAGTGTGGGGTTATTTTCTTATCCCCTTACACAAAATGAGACAATGTGTCACGATCCTTGGCGTGATGGTGAGTGCCTGCCGGCAATCTTAGAACATAAATGGCCGAGACAGAAGGACCATGAGTTTCAGGACAGCTTGAGTTTGGTAGTAAGGCTCTGTCACAAACCAACAAGCAAACAAACAAAGTAGCATTTAAAAGTCACATGTAAATGCTTAAGAGAGCTATCTCAAGGAAAAAGACAGGCTCCACACCACCAGCGGTGTTAGGTGGGCTGCTCATTGTGAGAGGCCAACTTGTTCAGAAGAACTAAACGTTGTGGCGATGCCTGGGCAGAAACACGGCAGAGGAGCCGGAAACATTTACATACAAGCAGAACATCTGTAGTTCTCACTGGATGAGCTCACAAATGACCTCGAGACTCCTGATGACCACCCACAATCCCAACTTTTTTTTTTTTTTTTTTTTTTTTTTGCCACATCTGCTTATCTGGAGGTTATCCATGCTCCTTGGGTATTTGAGCTTTGTGTTTAAGGTCTCATAACTCACACATGTATTAAAAATTGTAGGTAGAGCCGGGTGGTGGTGGCACATGCTTTTAATCCCAACACCCAGGAGGCAGAGGCAGGCGGATTTCTGTGAGTTCGAGGTCAGCCTGGTCCTACAAGAGCTCGTTCCAGGACAGGCTCATTAGCTACAGTGAAACCCTGTCTTGAAAGAAAAAAAATTGTAGGAAGAACATTTGATGTCTCTCAAAGCTCTTTCCATATCGACGTCTTCGGAACCACTTTGTGTTTTAGATGGCTGTGCCATGTCCTGTCTGATGGAGAGAATCTCTGTACGCAGTCACTTTTCTGTAAGTGGATGCATAGGCCTTTCTGATGCTACTTGTCTGCTAATAACGCTGTAGATTTTAGTTGTTGGCTGTGACAGAGCGGAAATGTCACACTATGCGTGTCTGAGGTTGGTTGGCTCACCAGCAAGATCGAGACCATGGAATGCATCCAACAACCTAAGCTTCCATGAGTCAACGTGAGAGATCAGCATTCTTGTTAGGAAGAGGAAAAGGTTCTTCTACTGTTGCGAGGGACCTGTGTGCTACCAAGAATTTATACTTACTCCGAAGACAGAGTGTATCAACATTTTAATGATTTCCCTCCCCATTTGGTAAAATTGAGGTGAAAATCAATTTTAAGATTTATTTTAGGCCTTATGAGAACATTCTGTGACATACACACAAAATGCCTCAGTTATGGCTCAGGTTTTTGTAAATTAGTAAAACCTTACAATCTGTTCCTTACAGACCAAGTGTTGGTGTTTATTTCTATTTTTTTATTAAAAAATTATACAGTTTATTTTGGTCATGTTTTTCTCTCCCCCAATTCTTCCCAGTTCCTTCCTATCCCTCACCCACCCAACTTTATGCTCTTTCTCTGTTTAAAACCAGCAAACAAACAAACAAAAAAAAACAAAAAACAAACAAGAAATACCTCTCCCAGACACATGCAAACACACATGCCAAAATCAAAATAAACAAGCAAAAGACCAACAAGGCAAAAAAAAAAAATAAAACAAAACTCAAAGCAAAATGAGACAAAAATGTCTACAAAAATACCATTGTGTTCTTTTTGTGTTGGCCACTTACTGCTGGGTGTGGGGCCTGCTCTTCAGGCTGACCCAGATACCCCGAGACTCTATTGCAGAAAGCTAATTTTTCCTTTGCAAGCAGGTGTCAGTTGCAGATATCTTCTTGGTTAGGGGTAGGAGCCTGTGATTTGTAGTAAGAAGAGCAGTGGGCTGCGTCCTGCTGCCCTGCTAGCTTAACTCTCCGAAATAACCTCACGGAAATTGTAATAATTAAATGACTGCCTTGCCCATTAGTTCTAACCTCTTATTGGCTAACTCTTACATATTAGTTTAACCCACCTCCATTAATGCATATTGCCACTTGACTGTGGCTTACCAGCATGAGTCTAACCAGATTCCATCTCTGCCAGGAGAAGTATGGTGTCTGCCACACTTCCCTTCTTCCCAGCATTCTCTTCTGTCTATTACCGCCCACCTAAGGGCTGCCCTATCAAAAGGCCAAGGCAGTTTTCTTTATTCAACCAATGAAAGCAACACATAGAAAGAAGACCCTCCTACACCTGTGCTTTCTTCCTTCTCTCAGCCCTGGGACCCCAGCTGGAGTGAAACTGTGCAAGCCCCCTGCATTCAGCCAGCCTCTGTGGGTTCATATGCGTGTCAGTCCTGTTGTGTCTGGAAGACACTGTTTCCTTAGAGTCATCCATCACCTCTGGCTCTTACAATCTTTCTGCCTCCATTTTTTTGCATAGCTTCCTGAGCCTTGGCAGGATGAGTCTGATAAAGATATCCTACTTAAGACTTAGTACTTCTAATGACTATCGTCTTCTTGTTCTGTGAATGAAGCTTGACTGGTATTGGCTCTAATATGTGTGTACCATCTCGTTTGCCAATTTAAGGGTCAGTTTTAGGGGTTTGGAGAAATGTTCAGCAAATGAATGAGTTCAGTTCCCAGTGCTCATGACAGGTGGTTTATACTGACTCCAGCTCCAAAAGTAAAATGATTTTTTGCTTGTAGCCTGTATAAGCAACTGCACACATACCACACAGCCACACAGTCACACAGCCACACACATATATATACACACACACACACACACACACACTCTAATTAAGAAACAATAAAAATAAGTATACATACTTTAAAAAAAGGTGTATTTCACTCCACAAATCATCAAAACAGCAAATCCAACAAAGAGATCAAAGTGATTTGCTACAATATTCTTGACAAATAATCGACTAACAGAAGCGACCAGGGTCAAAAATAATACTCTTTTCTGATGGGCCTTAAAATGTCATATACTTGTTTTCTTGTTTAGGATAAAGGGAGACTTTATTTAAGACCAAGTAAGATTATTAAAGGTAGTATTATTCTAGAATGATCCATATAGGAAAATAAATTTCATTTAGGGCATTAACCCTTTTCCCATTATAAAATAGTATCCTTTCACAGAAATGGAAAATATTTGTTTATTTGTTTGGTTGTCATGCGGTTGGTTACTGATTCTTTTTGAAATAGAGTAAAAACGTTTGGTTCAGGACATGTGAGAGGAAGAACACAGGGGACTGGCTGAAGAGGAGCTCTGTGTAGCTACCTAAGGGGCAGAATTCATCTGGTTTGTCTGGTTTGGAGAGGGTAGTTGGCTTTAACATTTGACACTTGGAGAAATAACTTAGACTTTTTTTTTTTTTTTTAAATTGATGATCGTGTGTGGTGTATCTGCCGAGCTAAGAAAGGACCTATGTATTTGAAGCGTACTGCGGAATAAATTTTTCCAATAGTGTAGTTTTAGATTGTGTTCTAGCTTCCTGAGTGTTGCTGGAAATCTTAACAGCTCGGGGAAACTTGCGTAGATCCCCATGAGTTAGAGACTTTTGACGTTGTCCCTGGCAGAGAGGTAAGGGATTTCCAGGTACTCAGAAATAGGAAATAGAATGTTTTGCTCGTATGGGACTGAAGTCCAAACTGTGCAAGAGAATCAGCCTTATTCTAGAAGCGTTTGCTTACCTGAGAGTCTGAGGAAGGGGCATGAGACGACACGTGATTTTCTTTCTATTTTCAAAAGAACGAGGATTCAGCCTTGCCACCTCACAGGCAGGCAGGCAGGCAGGCAGGCAGGCAGGCAGGCAGTATTTTAAATTGTGCACATTCTTTCTTGGGCTATAAAAATGAACAATCAGAAGTCTCTTAAATAAGAATTATTAAAATAAAAAAGAAAGCTTCTCAGCTACCCTATGCCCAAACCCTTCTCAGCAAGACTTTCCATTTCTCTCTACCTAAAATCCCCAAGTCAGAGAATATTCATGATTGTGTCCTGTCTTCCCAGAAACAGAGGCTAATCTGGAGCTCTGGCCTTGGGTTGCTCAGACTTGACTCTGTGCCCATTCCTCTCGCCTGTGTTCAGGATCCCCCTGACAAGCCAGCTCTTTAGGTTTGTTCCTGCTTTTGCTTTCAGCCTCTCTAGACTTGTGCATGCCCCTCTAAAAGTTCTATTACATGCAGAGTGTGCATCCCTGCTCCCCTGTCTGTTGACTTCAATATTGTTATCTATCGGTTCTGCCCCCATCTTGACATCACTTTGGTGAACACTATTCTCACCCCATATTTTAGACGATGTCTTCTTTCATCACATAGTCTCCCTTAGCAAACTATGGGATAGAATACAACCCCCTTCTTTAAAAAAATTAGATTTATTTTATTTTATGTGTATTTGTGTTTTCTTTGCATGTATGTATGGGTACCCTGTGCATGCCTAGTGCCTGTGGAGGTCAGAGGAAGGCACTGAATCCCCTGGAACTGGAGTTATGATGGTTGTGAGTTGCCCATGTGGTGCTGGGAACTGAACGTGGGTCCTTGACAAGAGCAACAAATGCCCCTTACCACTGAGCCACCTCTACAGCTCCCTTCCTGCCCTTCTTTAAGTTGCCTTTGTCCAGTATTTTGTCAGAACAACAAGAGACATAAGCTTTTCTCCTTGGAGATCTGCTCACCATACAGCGAGAGAAATAATGAGAGAGAAAGGGAAGGAGAGACAGAGACAGAGACAAGACGGATGGGCGGTAGAGATGAGATCTAACTCAGTGTATAAAAACACTTGCAATCCAATCCTGTAACTTAATTGACCTAAGGTTTCCAACTTGTAAAATATGCTATAAACTAACTTAACTGCTTGATCTGTGTGCCCAAATTAGGATGTTGCTAAAAGCACAATGTAAGTGCTATTTGAATAAAAATGATCACTGTTAAACTCATTATCAAAACCCATAGATGATGGGCGTCCACTTTTTATTCCACCTTTGCTTTCTATAAAATAGGAAATCGCCAAATGAAGACTTCTGTATCTTTAAGATGCTGGTCTGTGAATCACAGATTTGTCTCCACGAATGTGACACTTGACAACAAAGAAACAAACCCTGGCTGCATCAACACATCCCGGTCTATTTTAAACGCAAAGTTGATCACCCAAAACCTCAAAAACCCAACTCAAATTTAGATCCTTCCGATCTCATGCCCAGGTCCAAGTCGTGGGCTTTCCTAGAGGTGGCCTGCTGGGAAAAGTGTCTGGGCTCCTCGCCCAGGCTTGTTCCAGTGGCTTTTTCCTCTCCCGCCCCACACCTCCCCCCTCCACCCCCCAGCACACCTGTTTGCAGAGATCCTTCCTCTCTGCCTGGGCTTCTTGACTCTGGTCATGACCACCTGTTAAGGATGACGCAGATCCCGCCCTACGCACATCCTTGCCTTGTTGCTGTCTTCAGGATCCCCAACTGGGCTGAATCACCTCACAGGTGGCTATTTTTAGCCTTTATCTCTTAGGGGTTCTGTTTTCTTTCCGCCACCTTTTGACCTGGTAGCTGGAAATAAAGTTTGCCTTCCATAAAGACGAGAAAGTTGTCAGCCATTTCCTTCCTGCCTGCATGAAAGGACGGGCCAGCAGAGGGTGGGAAGTGGCGGAAAGGCTCAGTCCCTGAGTTTTGAAAACACACGCACCTCAGGAGTGACTCTTCAGTCATCGTCTGTGTACACTGCCCAGAGTCATTGCAGGAGAGACAGGCACTTACTCCCCGGATTCATCTTCAGAACGAACACTACAGTTTGTTGAAACCAGAGGACTAGGGCTTGTCTTGTCCTGCTTGCTGTTTGTAAACTCTCCCCAGAGAAGGGGTTTTCAGGCGGCTCCGTGGGCACCGACACCCTGCTTGTCTCTTCTTTGCTTTGGATGCATTTCTTTTTAAAAGAAAAAAGTAACTTATGTTCCTACGTCTTCATTACATTGTACGGGTTTGGGTTTTACGGCAAGATAAACATTTCTTCAAAGGGTAGAACTAAAAACACCAGGATGCTGAGATTCCCGGAAGAGCAGGGTGTTTCCCTTGGGACTACTGTACATGGAAATCTTTTGAGAGGTTTCTTGTCATTTCTACACTTAGCTAATGAAAGATTCAGTCTGTATTTAAAAAGCAGCAGTAACAATTGCCCCACATTTTTGTTAGCATGCAACAAATCTTGATCTGATTATTGGGGATCAGAAGACACAGGCAAAGACAGTCCATCGAGAACATTCTGTGGCTCCACCTGCTAATGTATTCCTTCATATGTGCTCTCCGGGGAGCAATGGGGTTCTACCGTCATCTCTTTCGGAGGAAGCTTCTTTCCTCAATAGACTCCAGCTCACTCCTCAATGGTGTCTGCATGCACAAAGCAAAAACCAGCAGTCGGTCAGGGAACCAGGAAATCTATGAAAGAGGTGTTCACCCCCTTGCTTTCCTTGTCAGAAAACCCCAAGTCTACCTGGTCATTTCAGTCTGAGTTATACAGAAATGATAATCGAATCATGTCTAAGTCATCTTGATGGGTCTAAGTCATCAACGCAGTCTCCATGTTAAGACTCCGTTCTCTGTGGTCATAATCTGACAAGCTAACCTACGAACTTAAAATAACTCTTTTTCCAATTCCTTGATAATCTCCTATCTATTATGCAATGCAATTAAATTTCACAAGCTTCGTAGTACATTTATTGGGGGATTTTAGTGTTTGTGTTCCACAACCCCTTATCCAAGATTTTCAAACAAGCGAGAGAAACCGTGCACATCTTCACGAGCCATTTTGTAGCTTTGGGATGCAGGATATAATTTAAAATAGCATTTTTGATTTCATTTATTTTGGAGTTCTGATGATGTTCTTGGTGACCTTGGTGTGTAGGGGCAGCCAAGGCCAAGAAAATGTTTTCTTTTTTTCCGGCTCGCAGATGTCAGATTGCTTCCTTTGACACCTTGGAATGTCAGAAATTTATTAACTCCTTTCTTGAGGAGATGTTTTTCTCTTAGAGCATGAATGCTGTGATAGGGGCATTCTGTTTACCTGCTGTTGAGTACTTTCCCAAACTCACAATCAAGACTAAAAAGTGGGGCTGGCCATTGTTGTGGTTTGTTGCCTTACAGCTGGCTAGTACTAATGACCGCTTTTCTCTCTCAGAGCTGGCATTGCACCTTTGAATGCTGGAAGAGCCAGTCTTCAGGGAGGAAGCTTCGAGGTCAGTTCTATTTTGATTTCTCCAAGCCCTGTATCTGAAGTGTGTGGTGCATTCAGCAGTAGGGTCTCACCTTTAAGTTTTGGAAAGCAACCAAGGGTGATGGAAATCACCTGTGTTGTTTGAGAAATCTCTTGGACTATCCTGATCAACAACTTCAGGGGAGGCTTCCCTCCTGTTGCTGGGGTCTGTTTTAGATAGTCTCCTTGACTCTCAAAGGTCATTATCACTTTAAGTGGTATAACTTTATACACACACACTGCCCTTTTAAGTAAACATAAAATACTGTTTCCCTATGGTCTTTTCAAATATTCTCAGTGTTAGTTGTTCCTCATCTTTCCTCTATATTACCCTCTCTCCCCACCTTACAGTTAAAGTTTCTTACCCATTTCTCCCTAGGTCCTATGCCCTACTATACCTCCTCTTAAGCATTTCTCTGTCATGGTCTTTTTAGACTTACCTTATTTCTGCAGTTGCTCCAGGTTGTATACTTATGTCTGTCTAAAGTCAGCTTGATAAATCACCAATGGTGCAGTAGGGGGTACTTTATGTCTTGGGGTAACCAATAGCTATCTTATTGGATCTAAGGCTCATTCAAGAGGTAAGAATTCATGTCTAGATTTGTAAACATAGACAACTACCCACAGGTGTTAAAGTCATGAATAGTAAAGGAAAACCCATGGCTACCACTTTCCTAAACTAATATAATTTTTAACTGCATTCTAAATACTCAGGGCGTATATCTCACCCATATCAAATGCTCTTTTTGTAGCAGAAGGGGACTATTACAGAAATCCACAACTGGTCAATGCTGAGAACAATGCAGTCCCAACTGAGCCATCTGCAGCACAACCCTTATACTTGAGACTCAGGGAAGTAGAGATATTTTATGGAGCTAAAGGCCCGGGACACCCGCTGTGAGAAAGCATCTCCTGCATGTGGCAGGGGAGTTACCACCGTGAAATCAAAACAATATGGTTGCCTAAACCAGACTAACACAGTGACGACAACAGCTGATAGGCCAGCCTGAATAGGATAGCTATCACAAGGCTATATCACAAGGCTCTACCCCTAAAAGAAGCACTCCAGGCTAGCAATGCCTGCTGAGACAGGATCCCAGACAAGTTATACAATCTTGAGCAGTCAGTCAGCCCTAAATGCAAATGCAAACACTAAGTGGACTCAGCAAGATATAGATATGTGTGTATATATGTAGTATATGTAGATATTTACTTGAAATATATACCTATATGTTCATATTAAAATTATGTTATATATATAAATAAAAGATGTATTTACTTGAAGAAGAAGAGGTAATGAATCTGGCAAGAAATATTAAAGAGGAGTTGGAGAAGGGAGAGAGGAAAGGGTGGAAATAACGTACATATAGTACTCATGTATAAAATTCTCAAAAAATTCAAAATTTAAATGAAAGAATAAACAAATATCCCTCCCCTTCCACCCCAAATAAACAAAAATTATTCAGCCAAATTTTGCCATCATTTCTGCCACAAAGAAAAATTTTTAGAGATTTATTGGAAAAATTAACTGAGATAGTAATAGGATCTGTATAGGTTTAGAATTTTGACCATGGTTCTAAGCATTGGTTTAGAAACAACCATCCTAGAGTGAAAGATTTTTATTCTCATAAAATTATCCTTTTTTCAGTCTTTCATGGGCTTTTATTTTCTTTTTTCAACCATAATATGATACCTAAATTTTGTCTGTAAACACAGGTTTGTCCATCCCAGTTACAGGCAAGGCAAATGCTGCTTCTTGAGACGGTCCTACCATGGACCCTCTGGTCATCCAACCTGGGTGGTCACCCCCTTGCCTGGCTTTGTCTTCACTGTATTGTGTGGCCACTTCATTGACTTTCATTCTAGACTTTAACTTTTCCATAGCTTCCATGATTTTGCCATGTTTTTCACAAAATTGTGTCTGAGCTTTACTGCATTGCCACCACCTTTAGGGCCCTGAGCCTTCTTGTCAGTACTCTCACTTCCAGAGGCTGCACCTCCTTACCCCCCTTTTCAGAACCACATTTTCCCTTCAGCAGCATTTCTTAAGCTTGCGGTTGAACTCTCTCATAAAATCATTCTTTCCCATTTGTCTATGTATGTATGTATGCATGCATGTATGTATGTATGTATTCATCTGTTTATATCTATCTATTATCTATCTATCTATCTATCTATCTATCTATCTATCTATCTATCTATCTACTTACCTACCTACCTAGTAAAGCTTTGGCAGCTCTTTGTGTTTATTTCTACAGATTTTGAAAGGCCAAGACTTCCCCAAGGCCATGAGTGAAAAGGAGAAATTGTAGAAGCAATTTCCCTGTAGAGCTATGCATTTTGCACACAGTTCAGAGTGGGGAACATACATAAAAATAAAATTTTGCTCCTGTGACATTATTCTAATTTTTTTTTTGCCTATGAGAAAGTAGAAATCATTTTTGCATAAGTTGGTCTGCGCAAGGTAGATAGCCCAGAGGCGATCATCCTATTTTCTCCCTGAGAAATTTTTATTTTTGTCTTGTTACTTCAGCCCACTTCTCCTATACTCCTCCTTGTGGTCAAGGTAAATGGGTTTTCTTCCACAATTCATTTTTTCAGCCTTGTAGAATGTGATTTTTTTTTCCTGGGGGACATAACCTTCAGTAAACACCTAATAAACGAATTGCCAGACGAACGGCTTTGCTAATGAAACTGTCCCTGAGAACTTCCTGCATGTCTGGTACTAACGCGAATAGTGAGTATGTCCCAAACAATTACCGCAAATCATGGATATTTGTTTCCTTTCACTTGTAAAATCTTTTTTTTGGGGGGTAATTTTGTCAGACTTAAAGACAAATAAAACAGCAATATCCTTCAGGGATATTAGAATTTTATGAGCATTTATTTGTCTTCTCTTCCTCTGAAATCTTTGGAAGTTGCAAATAGAACAAACATCTTTTGTCCCCAAATGCTCTTGTACATGTTTTCTAAAAAAAAAAAAAATCTTAATCCAGTTAACAAATTTGGTAATTAACATTCATTTAATAGTAGTATTTAGTCCAGCAATTGGCAAACATACGTGGCTTACCATCTGTGTTTGTAAATAGAGATTTATTGAGGCATAACTATGCTGTGCTTATGACTGTTTGTCTATGACTGCTTCTTCCCTGTTTGTAAATAAAGTTTTATTAGTACACAGCCAGGTGCATTTGTTTACAGGTTGTCTGTGATGGCCTTTTCTTATAATATCAGAATTAAATGGCTTTGACAAACACTTTTTGGTCTGCTGGAAAGATTTGCTAACCGATCTAGCGAAAATGTTTTCATCCCCTGATCTATTCAATAAATCTTATAAAATTTCATTATTTTTCCTCAATAATATCATCTATTGCAAAAGAGAAAAGTAAATTCTAGCTTGGCATCCGACCTGTGTCACATATTACCCTTGTTATGTCTCTTTATTATACTATAAAATAATTCTTCAGCTATTTTATGGATCATTACCTTGACATTTTGTATACATGCAGATTATTTTACACATTATATATCATTTCAGGTTGTATTATGTTTAGATTTACACATACATTTCAGGTACATGGTGTATACATCCTACCAAGGGGCGCACCTCTTTGTTTCATTATCAGTTATGTTAGTTTTCATCTGTTTGCTTAGGGTGGCATATAATGTTTTTGTTTCTCCCTGTAAATGCCGTATTTCCCCTTTTATAGATAAGTATCATGCGGGCAAATTGTTTGAGTTTATATAATTGTTCTTTTGTTGTCCTTCAAATTTCCCACAATGGTTCTGGCATCCATTGCAATCTACTTCTGTAAGTATTATTTTTACTTAATTTTGGAGGTGCCAAAGTGAGTTTTAAGACTCTTTTATTCTCCGCATTTATCAGTTAAGATTTTGTCTGTGTGTGTGTGTGTGTGTGTATGTATGTATGTAAACATGTTCATGTGTGTGTGGGTATATGTGTGTGTTTCTATGTGTGGAGGCCAGAGGTCGAAGTCTGCTGTCCTTCTCCATCACACAGCATTTAACATTTTGAGACAGGGCCTCTCACTGAACCTGGAGCTGCTGATTTAACCAGACTGGCTGGCCAGCGAATCCCAAAGACCCTCCTAAGTCCACTCCACAGAGCTGGGGTTGCTGCTACGTACTACTGTGCTGACTTTTTGGTGTGGATTCTATCTGATCAAGCTCCAACCCACATGCTTGTCTGGTAAGCACTTTATTTACTTGGCCATCTGCCCAGTATGAGTTACAACTTTTAAAATGAAGCTGTCCCTCTCCTCTCATTCTTTCTTCCATTTCCACTTTAAAATTTAACTTCGTGGATTATACGATGTAATTTTGATTGCTCGAAAGCTCCAGGCTAACTTTTGCTTGTGTATGTGTTGTGTGTCGGGTGTATGTGACTTGTGTGTATATGTGTACATATTTGCGTGTGTGTTTGTAACCTGTCACTTTAACAATGAGCAATGCAATGACTTCTTAAGACTGACTTGAAATTCTGGGGATAGGCTGTCCACTTAATATTTCTGTATAGCTTTGAACACTGCGCCTGTAGATTTTAGGCACTCAACTATTTTGTGAAAGCACCCCCAAGTCAAAAGAATACTCTGTTATATGGAACGGTAGGACTCATCTTTTAATTATTTTTTTTTCTCAATTACTTTCGAGTTTCTGAAATGTCTTTATTATTGCATTTCAGTTCCAGTTTAGCAGACAGGGGTCCAAATTCCCTTTTAATCTCGAAATTTCTTATTTTTTTTTCCTAGTACTGAAAAGTCATCACCCTTAGGGATTTCGGAAGGATTCTAATGTGAGTCCAGGAAATCCAATTCAGTTTAAAATCAATTCTTGGTGTTTTCTGAAAGTCTATTTTCTGAAATCTATAAAAACTACTCCCAAGATTAATTCTAGGAAATTTAATCTCTTCACTGCGCTCTCTGCTACCTGGTTTTCCCCTCTGGTTTGTCGAAAAGGGAAGAAACACTGTTCAGGCGCTGCTCTTTGCTATGACGATGACTGGGATTTGCTCCCACAGTCTGCTTGGGAGCTTTGGTGTTGTTGCTGCAGACCCCCGAGGCCGGAAGGAAGTCATGAGTAGCAAAGAGGAAGTAGCTGAGCCTGGCTTAGAGGAAGTTTAACTGGTGATATTTTCCCAGTTCCTAAGTCAAGCCTTTGCTTTACCGTCAATAACTAATAACTCAGAGGATACAACCTTGGTAACGCAAAGCATTTCCTTCGGTACTTGGCCTTTGAGGCAGGCTGCATTTCTTTTTTTTTTTTTTTTTTAGCATGTGACAGGAATTTGGCAGGACTTCCAACTTACCTCCCCTCTTACTCCTGCGAGCTCTGCCCACTTGCTGGCCTCCCCAAGGTGGGAGTGAGCGGGGCAGAGATGGAGCGTCTTCTGGGCTGGGTGTCACGGTAGCACTGAGCCAGAGAGTGTAGGCGTATAATTAAGCATCTTCATATTCTGATTACCTAATCAGTTGTCATTGAATCTTGGAGTAAAATTGGTCCCCTGTGTCTGTTTGGGGCATTGAGTAATTATTGGAGGAGGTGACAGTGATTTCTTTTGGAATCTGAGTCAAAAGTAATGTACCCTGGGTATCGACGTGTGTTATTTTGGGGAGCAACATGACCACCAGATATGCACTAAGCAATTTAGACGTCACTGTATGGAGTGTCATTTGTTTACTGCTCTTAAAGCCACTTTAATTGGGTTCTGCAACCTGTGACGGGGAATTCCTTTCCCATCTCAGGTGCTCAGCTCATGTTATTTTTTTTCCCTTTCCATTTCCCTTCCAGCCACATTTCTGTTTCTGTCTGTGACCTGTGGCCCATCACTTGAATGACCTTACCAACCAGGATCAACCTTGGTACGCATGGAAACTGTGACCTTGTGGAAGATAACCTTTGGCAGGCGCTCGCTCTCCGGTTCTCCAGAGTCCAGTTTCACATGGAGGCTGCAGGAAGCTGCTTCCCGCAGCCTGAGCCTTGAGGAGAAGCTGATAAGACAAGGAGAACCACCTGGTAGCCGCGGCAGCACTTCATCCAGGATGAAAACAGGATCTAAAATATAAACAACATCCTCCCTCCAGAAGCCAGGGATCAGCTCCCTCCCAAGTGTGTTTGACTCTGTTCTCCCAAGAGTCTCATGAGAACCTTTACTGAGGCAGGAAGGTCAGTCAAGATGAAGAAGCAGAGTTTTAAGGTTTCCGGTGGAAACCATCAGAAAGCCTTTGTTTTGTTTTTAAATTGTTATTGTGGTTGATGATCTTTTAAGTTCAGAAGTATGACCAATAATTGTTCGTTATAGCCCTGAACTTGTTTTTAGATGAGTAAAAATGTAGACACCTCAAGTGTGACACCATTGCTAAAGGAAATGATGCAGGTGGATCAGAGGGACAAAGAAGCAAGGTTGCTGCTGATCTCCTCTTTCCCAGGGCATCTCTTCTGAAGTGGCTGCTATTTTGTAACAGCAAAATAGGACGTTTATTTTGTTCATTATTTATTGTTGGTAACTGAGCCAGCGTGTTTCTGCTCATCATAAGAAGCAGGGAACTTTTATAGAAAGCAGCAAGGGCTCTCTCTCTCAGTCAGTCTCCAGTCAGTATGTAATGCCCCCAGGACTAGACTCCCACCAGGGTTGCTGAGGGCTGCAGCAGCTCTTACACAGACACTCAACCTATCCCTGCTTTTCTTACTGTCAAATGTTCATTTTTCATTTATGTGTATGGATGTGCCTGTGTGCATGCCCTCGGAGTCCAGAAGAGGTTGTTGGATCCCCCGGAGCTGGAATGATTGTGAGCCACCTGCTGCGGGTGCTGGGACGTGAACTCGTGTTCTCTGGAAGAGTGGCCAGTGCTTATAACCACTTAACCTTTTTTTTTTTCAACTCCCAATTCTTGCTCTTAGAAAGAGATTGTATTATGCCCACTCTCTTCCTTAAAGACCTTGTGACTGGGAAGAGTCATGATTCATATGTTAATTTTTCTATCAAGATTATCAATGTCTCTCCAGTTGAAGAACCTCAATGCAAACAGAGTTTCTTGCCCATAGCCCCACGTTTTTATTTTCTATGCCGTTCAGTCATTCAGGGAGAGACAGATTTGCTGGCTTTGTTGAAAATGCACTTGACTACTGGGACTAATTTGAAAAATTTCTATCACTACCCATTTCTCCTTTCACAAAGCAGAGAGAAAGAATGAGAAAGAGAGCAAGGAGAGGAAGTGAGCCAGAGTTAGTTAAGTCATGGTATTAATTTATCCAGTCACAGAGCAAGTATTGATTGACTGTGTTTTATGAATAGGCATCATTCCAGTAACAAACACAAAGGGGAAAAGATTGGGAAAAACCTCTTCCCTATAGGATCATATTCTCTAGAGTGGAATCCAGTGATCCGTAGTTCTATTATCAATACTTATAAATTGAAAATATTACAAGATAATAATGAAAATATCATCAGTTAAATTTTACTGGGTGGCATACTAAGTACTTTACACGTATTGACTGCTTAAGCTGCTAAAACATTATATAAGTTTTAAGCTACAAAAGTTAATGAGTCATGATTATCCTCTCTTGGAGCTGTTGGCCTGTGAGGTCCCAGAGATCTAACCAGCCCTCAAAGACTATCGTCATGGTAACCCAGTGAGATGCAGCAAAACACAAATTTCCTCCCCATTTTAATGAGAAAGAAACAGAGAAACCCAAGGCGCAGAGTGATTTCATGAACAGTAAGAGTGTGGGTGCTGGGATTTCAAGCCAGGCCCTTTTTACCCCAAGAGTGGATGCTGACACAATATGGGCAGCTCTCACTGACTTAATCATGTTTTCAACATCAGCTTTAGATCACGGTAGCCTGTAGCCCTGGGACTGCTTTCCCGGTGTGAAGGGAAGGCCTAGCGGAAGAGCATCCTTTTGTGATTAACCCCCACGACAATGAAACATGCATCTTTGTCCTTGCTACCAGAAGCAACCTCAAGTACCGATTTCCAGGGAATGCCACAGAGATTGACACCGATGTCTGGTGTCACTGCACGGTTTCATTAATTCACGAACCCTGATTTCCCCCGGGGCAGGCCAGTATGCTGAACTCTGTCTACAAAAGTCCTCCTGTGACTTTCCTGTGGGCTGCAATTGATCCGCGCAAAGAGTTAAGGAACCTTCGCTGCCTGCAGGAAATCTGCCGCTGAATCCAGGGCCTGGCAGAGGAAGCATTAAGTGTATCATGGGAGAGGAGGAAAGCAAAGTGCTAAAGTTGTTACTCTGAACAGAGGATATTGGAGCATCCTGTAAAAAACTTCCTGTTTAGCCAGCAGACCAGAAAACAAGATGAAAAAAACACCCCACTTCAATGACTATTGTGTCAATATATTTTTATACCGTCATTATCTTGGGCAGGACTTACTCACAAGAACTAGATTCCCAGGGTGAGGAGTTCACAGCTGAATCACAGCTTCCCGCCTTCCTTGTTTTGGATGCTGCATCCTATCCTGGTATCCCCTGTGTCAGGCTATCCCTCAGCCGGCACTGTCATTGCGCTCCCCCCTCCCCGCCACTCTGTGACTCTTGCTTTGGCTCACATTAAACACCTCATCACATAGAGTCTGATAACGCATCTTAGATATTTGGGTTTTAACTCTTCTGCCCCTTCTAGGGTCGGGAGATAAGGCACAGTCATGCAGCAGAGACCATAGAACACTTAGGGATAGGTGACGCTCAGTTCTTGCCCGTGTGTTTCTTTACCAGATACATCCAAGTAGTACAGTTAGACGAAATGCAAGGTGAAAAACAAGACTCTTAAATGCCTTTATTATGAATCTAGGGATTAATAAACTTCAGATATTTCATCCAGCGTATTTCAGGTGGTGGTGTGTTATGATGTGCATAGCGCTGACACAGGAGTTACTCGGAGGAACAAGATCTGTTTCTTTTTAAACTGATCCTTGTTCAACAATACCAGTCTGTGTTTGATACTGTTACTGTTAGCTGCATCCAAAACACAGTGATTTGTTGTTTGGACAGGGCCTCACTCTGTAGCCCTGCTTGGCCTTTAACTCCTAGAGATCTGCCTTCACAGTTCCAGAATGAAAGGCAAGCATCGTTATCACCGGCTGATTCAGTATCGGGCTGATTTGGTGGGTGTGCATTCTTTAAGCCTGGTTGGATCATGGGAAAATGTTCTTTCTCTGTCTACTGTGTCACTATTGGGTACCGTCGTCTAGGTTGCCATCTGTGGTCTTTATAGAAATCGAAGCTATTGATCCAGGCTCTTCAAAGTTTTCCTTGAGAAATCAGACCTTGCTATGTTGAGATTTTCTTTGTATACAACCTGTGGCTTTCCTACTGCAGTTTCAATACTCTGTCTTTGTTCTTTATGTTTAGTTTTAGATATAAGATTCTTTTCTGGTTTTGTCTATTTGGTATTCTATATACTTCTCATATCTATGAGGGTTTACTTTCCTTCATTTTTTGTGGGGTGGGGTTCTTCTATGACCCTGTTGATGATCTGGTCTATGTCATTGACTGATTTTCTCTTCTTCATATGATATGAAGGCTTGTTCTTTTGATGGAGACCACAATTCCTCCATGTTCCCATTGTGTGTTTTTCATGTGTGTGTTGAGTGGTCTAATGCCTTCACTTCACTTTTCAGTCCTGATATTACATCTTTGACTTAATCCCTTCCCCTTGAAAGATCTTCCCCTGAATTTTCTAGTTGGGTTATTGACTTTTTCAATTTTATCTTTACTTCAACTTAAGTTCTCTTCAGTATTGATATTTTTATTGAATTTAGTTTTCAAATCCTGAATTATTTCCATCATTTATTTCAGCCATATGTCTATGTTTTCTTAGGCATCTCTCAGGCATTTGTAATTATTCTCTTTATGTTTAATAAATTATTACTTCTTTAAACTTGAATTCTTCAACAAAGGTTATGATTCTTTTAAATTTTATTTCCTGGTGTTCAAATATGTAACTTCTTCTGGAGAACACTTCTACAACACTGCTAGATTTGCGGGGTAGATGTACTATGTAGGTTTTTCATATTACTTGTGCTTTTGTGATATGACATGAGTTTGTAGACTTCTCTATTGCTTGTGTGTCTGGTGTGAGATTCTAGGCTGCCTCTCTTGAATAGAAACTTGGTTTTGTTTTGGTTGTTGCCCAAGCTTGATTGGTTTCAGATCAGGTGTGAGGAGCTGGTACAGCAATTCTTCATATACTCAGTGTTAGCCAAGAGGATAACTATATGTTTTTTCTTGGGTTCACCTTCTTCTTTAGCTTCGTTAGGTTCACCAGGTATACACTCCGTGACCTTTATTTATGGCTAGAAACCAATTATGAGTGAATACATCCCATGTTCATCTTTTTGGGTCTGGGTTACCTCGCTCAGGATAGTGTTTTCTATTTCCATCCATTTGCATGCAAAATTCGAGAAGTCATTGTTTTTTACCGCAGCATAATACTCTAATGTGTATATATTCCACACTTTCTTCATCCATTCTTCCATTGAAGGGCATCTAGGTTGTTTCCAGGT